TCTATCTATCTATCTATCTATCTATCTATCTATCTATCTATCTATCTATCTATCTATCTATCTATATGGTATTCAGCTTTGTTCGGGTATTTTCCCACCCGAACAAAGCTGAATACCATACATGTAAGTACCTGCGAAAACTTAAGAAAACAAATATATAAATCCCTGTCTCTCTCTCTCTGTTTCTCTCTCTCCCTCTCCGTCTCTGTATCTCTCTGTCTGTCTGTCTCTGTCTGTCTTTCTCTCTCTCTGCCTCTGTATATATATATATCTCTCTCCCTGTCTCTCTCTCTCTCTCTCTCTCAAACAGAAAGACACTGGTAAAATGAACACAGAAGGAAAAAGGGTTAGATAAGAAAAAGAAAAAAACTACTGTACTCAATTCCTGATTATCCAGATTTGCCCAAAGAAAATCTTATACTTCCAAGGGAAAAAGTATATTTGCTTTGCTTTTAATTTTTGCATGTTCTGTGCATTGTAATCAATATCTGAATAGGTCACCCATGTTTCTTTGTCACAGTTGGAAAGGAAAGTCCTTTCCAATGAGAACTGTTGACCCACAATTTTAATGGAATCTTGCACTGAAAGAGGAACAGTTCACTGCTAACTGAGTCAGTCATCGCTTTTTATTCAATCCAAGAGTTTTTATTCAGTCATCCCAGGTCAGTAGCTAGCAGGAGTCACATCTTGCAGTAAACAGCATTTGGTTTAATTATGGTTTGTGGAATAAACCAGCTTTGGCTTCTTTTGCAAAATATGCTAAGCCATAAACCTTGTTTGACCAATGGCTGGTTCATTCTATATCGTAAACTGGAACTAACAAACCAAAGATTATTACTTAATGCAAGCTGTAAATTCAGAATAATTCATGAAAATTATTGTTAATAAATGTTACACTTCCAACTGTAAAACTCAATTCCTGGTGACATCAGAGGGGGAAATGGTTTTTCCATTGCTTTCTTTCAAGTTCTTTCATGTTGTGCCCCAGAATTTGGCTACATGTTGTTTGACTGTTCTTTTGATGTTTTTGTTCACGCTTTAATCTATGTAACACTACACAAAGAGATATAGGCTATTATTCCAAGGGGTACAAATTTCAGGTTATGAGGCAGCAAAAGAGAAAATGGGATGTAGTGTTAAATGGGCTTTTCTGCTAAAATGCATGGCTCTGATAAAATTCATTAGAAGATTGAAGTAACTTCCTTTTAAAATGTTTTTATTGAAAACTGTAATTACAATAGTAAAAGCAAATACAAAATAAACTCAGAGAAAACTGAGCAGTAGAAAGAAGAATAAAAGGTGCAAAGAAAAGAAATATTTTAAAAAGTGACTTTCTCTCCTTATCACAAGTATTAATAAACTTAATAACTCTTCATTCCCTATAAGATTACAGCAAATATCTTTTTCCTATAACCCATGCCTTAGTCATTTAGAAATCTATAAATCATCAACTTTTCAGGCATGGTGTCAGTAAAAATACCATAAAGAGTTATCAGTTGCCAAATGCGTTAGTGAACATGTAAGCAACTCGTATCCCAAGTCAATGGGATAAGCTTGCTATCGTGAGAAGTTATCTTTTCCTCCTAAATTTCATTTTTGTTCTCTTCAATTCCCCCATTTCTCAATTTCATGTGCAATTATTAGCAAATCTATCTGTCAATTATACAATATGATGGAAACCTTAAACAATGGGGTTATTGCATGGCCGCTGGAAATACCCCATGAGAAAAAAAATATATGAGTCACTTAAAAAAAATCTTGAGACTTGGAAAAAAGCAGAAAGGATGTTATGTGAAATCTCATGTTCCACACTGCAGTTAACATAGTAATTGTCCAAATATCTGTACATTATAGCTTCAAGCAGAGAATCAGGGAAGTATTGTGGCTGAGCTGTTGAACCATGAATTATGAGATCTGGAGTCAACTATAAAAGCTCAGTAGATATAAGTCCGGTGGGGGCTTATGCTCAGTGGTTAAAGACACTGAGCTTGTCTGTTGACAGCCTGGATTCAAGGATGGTAACAGGATGGGCTCAGGTCCTTGCCCAGCTCCTGCCAACCTAAAGCATGCAAATGCGAGTAGATAAACAGGTACCACTTAGATGGGAAGGTAACAGGGTTCCGTGTGCTTTGGCATATAGTCATGCTGGTCACATGACTACAGAAGGATCTTCAGACAATGCTGGCTCCCTCAGCTAGAAAATGGAGATGACACTGCCCTTTAGAGTTGGACATGACTGGACAGTGGAAACCTTTACCTTTAGATATATAACTCCAGCAGAGTTTGCAGCCGCTCACCTTCTTCTGCCCTGGTAGAAGGGTTGTCTGC